AGAGCTATCCATCCAATCATATCAATATTCCATTGATACAATATATGTTATCATTTTATCACTACCTTCTATAAATAGGTAGTTCTAACATACTTTGTGGAACAAATAAATATGTGTAATCCTTAATTTTCAGTTATACTAATAGTTAAAATTTGTACCTTTATCAAAGAGAGACCGACTGCTGTTGGCTTAATATTCCCTAATAGTGTTTTACATATTCTTTGAATGAATTGATGTGGGATTACGAAGATGAGAATATCAGCATCTTTTGCAGCTTCTACTAGATCTGGAACAGCTACCTAGAATATAACACATTAATTTTGATATCAAAAAATTTATCTCTGAGAAAATGTAATTACTTCTATGTTATATATATATACATATATCTATCAAATTATGTGTATATATGTAATATAAATCTATCATAAAGTATCTTCAGTTGGAATATATATATATGTGAAATGTTTCAGAAATATGTTTATAGTATCTCAACATAAATTCAATTTGCTTTAATTTAATTTAAAAATGAAAAAGCTATCTGTGTGTGCTGTCTCAGTATATAAGTGCGATTCCTCAGACACCGAAGTTTATAATGTTATTATATTTTATTTCTTGACTATACATATTTTAATCTTCCCAATTTAAGCAACAATCCTTTGAAAAAAAGTCAATATGCTGCATATTATGTTAATGTTTTATCCACTACCCTACTGCCTTATGGTCAGTGTTTCCATAGAAGGTGCCTAAAATGCACTGACAGTTATAATAACTGCTCACACCATCCCTATGTTTCAAGTCTGAAGTAATAATAATAATCTACCTTTGAAACATAGACTGAGCAGGGTTTCTTCAGATTTATGTCAGGTCCTCGAGATAAAAATAGTCTTTACATTTCACAAAATTTTCAAAGCTGGTAAAATTGAATATTTCAGATAGAACTAAAATCTTTTAAAGACTCAGAATTCGGGCATTACTTAATGAATTACATTTTTTAGATGTTGTCTCTTAAAATAAAAGTATCATAAATACATGAGTAAAATACAGAAAACTGAATCAAGACATATGCTTAATAAAATTATATCTACATTCAACTAATACTACAAAATTGTTGGTAAAAGAACAATCTAATACAGAAACAGAATAAGACAACTCATATCAAAATGTATAAGAAAGAAGTTTAGCAAGCACAAACAATATCTAAATTTCCTTTTCTCTTGATCAATGAACACTTCTGTATCAATTCGCAATTACTAA